GATTTGAATAAAAAACAACCTTTGAAGTATTTTCATCAAAATATATTTTAAATATAAAACAAGAAACAAATGGGTTCATTAATTAATGAATTATTTAAATGGCCATTAGTTGTACGTCTTCGAACACCAGATAATGATGATGAACATGTTGATAGACTTAATCATCGTGTTACCGTTGGATTAATACTTATTGGTGTTGTTATAACATCAACAACATCATTTGTTTCAAATCGAATATCTTGTTGGTTACCAACAGAACTCAAACATACGAGTTATCCAAAATATATAGAACATTATTGTTGGATTAGTAATACATATTACATACATTCAAATGTAACTCCACCACATTCAAATGAAGATAGAAGACGAGCTCAAATAGGTTTGTAAATATTTGATTTGATGTTTTTGAAAACGAACGATGATATTGACAAAATGTTGGGTTGTTCTTTTTTGACTTATAGATATATCTTGGATGGATGAGAAAATAGGATTTTATAAATACAGTTGATTTTACTCATGTTATTAGATAAAACTTATAATCAAGATTTTTTTCATTTGCTTTCCATTTCTATTGAAATTTATCTTTCGTAAAGTGTATCAATTATGAAACATCTCTACAACTTTCTTTCTTTTCCGTTCAATGCAAAAAAGTTTTAAGATTACGTTTCTGAGAAAATCAATACTCGGAGAATGAAATTTCCTGATCTTGATATGTTTTATATGATGAAATTCATTATATTCTATTCTTTTGAATTTTCTTCCATAGAATGACTTTCATCTTTTATTTTTTTTTTAATTAAATAGAAATATGTTGATACTTGAAACAGTTTTATTTTGACATTTTGTTAGCAAAATATCGATCGAATGCGTTTTATGTGGCAACAACGAAATGTCTTGATATTTTTACAATAACAGAGCTCATAAAGTTCTATTGTCTAATGATATTTAACACTTTTGGTCCATGTAAAAAATCAATCACTTTCAATAGAAAAAAAGAAACACCTTTTTTTCTAACATTCACGAGATATTTTGAAGCTGTTGCTGTAATATTCATGTGTGATAATTTCTCGACTATTTAATATTAACGAGCCTTTTTCCAGATTTTGATTACGAAAAGTTGAATTTCATACAAAACAAACATTGTATTCACAAGCAGTATAAAAACCTCTGTGAAGAAACATAGTTTTTCGATCGAAATTTCACTTGTAGTGCGAAGCATACGGTGTAAGTTTCGAGGTGAATGGTTGTGAGTATAAGTATAAGGTTTATTCTTCATGAAAATTACTTTTTCGCAACCTAAATCAAGAAAGACTTCGCTTTGTGTGCAATTTTCTATGGAAGCTGTTCCACTTTGAACGTATCCTCTTTTTCGCTAGCACTAAAAATGTCCAAAGCCTGGTTACGTAATTTAATATTACCTTACCCCTTAAAATTAAAAAACAAGCTAAAAAAGAAAGCGACGATTTTGGATGAAAAGTGATTGATTTTTTTGTATATTCAATAAACGTGAAATATATTAGATCATAGCACTTTATGAGCTCTATCATTAGTGAAAATATCAAGACATTTTGTAGTTGCCCCATAAAACGCTTTTGGGCGATATTTTACTAGCAAAATGTCAAAAACCAGAACAAAGTCATCGGCTCAAGTTGAAAGGTTCAGATACTACTTAATTAATTATCATCTACCACACATCAACATATCAAAAATTCTTAAATATGACTCTACTGTCGATACACTGGAGCGACTCATTTTCTCAGTTACTCATTCTTAAATACTTATAATTAACCAAAAGTTGTGATAGCATTAAAAAAACAAGTTCGAAGGTCATTATTGACATCTGCTCTTCCTTTATAGAAATGCTTTGCTTACCTTGCAACTGTTCAATATAAGGGAGCGTTAGATCCCCACACTGTTGTAAGTTTTTCGTGAATTAATTATCTTTGCGCCAATTTCCAAAATAGTCCGAATTCTAATATAGCATCAATTGAACTCATTATATCCATATTTTATCTGAATGAAGATTAGCACGAAACCTAAAATAGAGTTCTACTGGACAAGGCATTTCAATACTTATTCATGTTATATTTTGATTAATGCAACTCACAAATGTGACTTTTTTCTGGTCACCACGATCAAGACTAACACTGTTCTCGTGCATCTCTAGTGAAGATCAGTTATTTGATCTTCCATTAAGAGAAGATGTATTAAAATCAAACATGTACACTTCGATGAATTCCTCGCCTTTGTTCTAACGAAAAAATTATCAATGATATTTTCAAGACAGATAAGTCTCGATAAGTAGAACAAAAATTTGACTTTAACAGTCGGAAAGGGAGTATCTTTCAGAGTCGATTTATCTATTTCAAAGATATCTGTATGATTTATTATTTTCAAAGGTTATTATCAATGGGTACCTATTCTCTTATTATTAATGGCATTATTTTTTTATGCTCCTCGTTTATTTTGGCGTTCATTCAATGCTCATTGTGGTATTGATATTCAAAATTTAATAAAAAAAAGTCAACTTTCAACAAATAATTCAACAAAAATAGCATCAGCAATGCTTGATTATTATTGTCAAACATTTAAAAATCGACATTCAAAAAGATCAATTAATATACAAGCTTATGTTCGTCGAAATAAACATCGAGGAAATTATTTATTTTCTCTATATTTTTTAACACGTTTAATGTATCTAATAAATTCTATTCTTCAATTATATTTACTCAATGCTTTACTTGGTCATCGTGGTAATGCATGGTTTCTTGATATTGATATAATGAAATCAATATTACGTTATGGTAATCCACTTCTTGATTCACCTTATTTTCCTCGTGTTACATTATGTGATGTACCTATACGTGAAATAGCTGAAATTCATCGTTATACACTTCAATGTGCTTTACCAATAAATATGTTAAATGAAAAAATTTTTTTAGCATTATCATTTTGGTTTAGTTATGTTATTCTTTATAATATAATAAGTTTTATTACATTAATTATTCAACAATTTGAAAGTGAACGAATTGAATATATCAAACGATTAACAACATCAATGAAAGATAATGACCCAGAGTTTATTGAAAATTTTACTGTCAATTATTTATCGTATGATGGTATTTTTATACTACGTTTAATCAGTCATAATTCAAGTGATTTACAAGCAATAGAAACTATTAAAGCCATGTTTAAAAATTATAAAAAAAACAACGACAATAATAGAATTGAATGAATTTTTATATTAGGGTTTTTTTTTAATCTTTTTCTTTTTTTTTGATGCTCTTTGATCATAGTAAAACTAATTAAGTATACATCCGTTTTGGTATGTTTGCATGAAATAAGAAGATAGCAATTTCCGATTTCGTCTAGATGCATATGTTAAAATTACAAGTACTAACACATTTTTCATTCTTAAATATATAAGTTAGATATCATTAAAGTTATTATCTGAATGAAATAGATAAGACAAGATGATGCTTTAGATAACCAGAGAAGATGAAATACGAATATATATATATCAACATGTGAACATTTATTTATTGTACGGAAATAATGATCTAATACTTCATATAACTATATTATCAATAAGAATTACAGATATAATATGGGTCATATGTATTTCGGTACAAGTCAAAATTCATTTAAGTGAATTAATCTATTTGAATATTGTTTTTCTTTTGTTATCAAAACAAACAAATATGTGAATGATATAATAAATATATTTTGACATTATCATAAAAACAATAATATAAAAAAATATTAGACAACCGAAATAATATTCTCATCTATCATTCTAATCTCTTTGTTGTTTTGTGAACTTTATGAGTGATTGAATTAAATTCTTGTATTTTTATTTCGTAATTACTATCAACACCAAGAATATCGATGATAATAATAAACTCATATTTATGCACTCTAAGATTAGCAACAATCTAAAATGAATAGATTCAATAACATTAATTTGTGATGATCTAATGCAATACAAGAAAAAGAAAAAGATCGATCATTATCGATTATGGCAACATTTGCATTAGTATGAACTGTAGTAACAATGAACATATCATTGAGACATTGATTGTTGTAAAACTCTTCAAGTTTTGTCATCTTTTTTCTTTTTTTACGATGATTACACATTTAATAAACAAACGAAATGATAAAATCTAAAAGAACATACTATACAAATTCATTATTAAATGTCGAAGAAAACGACAAATTTATATATCTTTTAATTTATCAATGACAATATAATACAAAAATCCTTCTTTTTTCTTTTTTCAATAAAGTTATTTGAAGAAAAAGAATTTACTTAAATAGACATTTTTCTTGTCTAGATTATTAATGGAAATTCGTCTTATTTTAGAAAACGACATTAATCATATGCTATTTTAATGTAATAATCAAAAAAAAGAAAACCCTAATACTCAACATTGCTTTTCTTTTTTTTTTTTTTTCTCTTCTCGTCAAGGCAAATAAGAACAACAACATAGAAGTAATTGAGAAGGGAAAAAAACGATGCGAAGCACGATAAATAATAAATGATGAATAGAAATACAAGAAGGAAAAAACCATATGAATTTGAACACACAATCACTACTTGTAGTCCAATAGAAACTTTCCTATGGGCGTTTTCAATGAAAAAGAAAACTTGGTTTTATTAGTAATGTTTTTTTATTAAGAGAAGAAGAAAAAAAAAAAAAAAACGAGAAATGATCAATTTTCTTTTCTTCCTTCCTTCTTCGTACTGGACACTCCTTTTTGTTCTCTCTCTTGTTCATCACATTCACTACTTACTTGGACATACACACATATACATATATAAATATACATCGCACGGTTGGTTCCGCATATAACATAAAAAAAAAAAAGAAACGGGAGTATCATTCTTTCCAATCCGAGACGATTGCATCATATATATATACACATTTGAGGATAATGATGACGGTAATTTGCTATACTTCTATATATTGAAGATTGTTTGAATTGAACACGACATAGACATGTACTATTCACTGATCATTTTACTCTATTATCATCAATTCCTGCTGTTACATGCAACATCAGCTTCATCATTATTATTTACACTTAATAATGTTCGATATTCGTTATCTGATCGTGTTTTAACAATACCTAAATTAGGTGCTTTACGTGGTATATATATTGATTATGATAATGAATATTATGAAAAATATAATCTTGTTAATATTGAAGCATATCTTGGTATACAATATGGATTATATCATGGAAGATTTGAACCATCAAAAGAACGAATTGATTTACATCCAAATACAAAAGTTAATAAACATATTGAATTTGGACCAGCTTGTTCACAATATATATGGAAAAATGAAAGTGAATTAAGTCGAATACGTACAAAAAATTTTGCACAAGAATATTATCCAAAATTATTAAAATATATATTAAAACAAAATGAAGAACAATGTCTTTATATGAATATTTATCAACCACAAATAAAAAATTTAAAAGGTATCAAAAACAAAGATTTCTAATTGATAACTAGAATGTATTATATGATTACTGAGATAAGTAGTTTATTCTATTGAACAATGATTATATTGTCTAATGATGTGAAATAAATTTATGCTCAATGATCGATGGACCCGACATCTCATCGACCAGTTATATATATATATATGATCATATTAACCAGACATAGTGAAGAAAGATGACATTGTTGACACACGTTAGATCTTTTGTATGCATATTTAATGATACAGTACCATTAAGTAGAACATCTCGATCTCAAATGCATTGATGATAGTGATGACATGAGAGAAAGTTCGTACTAATCCCTTAAGACATTGAACTCAAAATAAAATACAATAGAAAGATATTCAATCTCTGTTGATGACAAGCTGAATATTATATATTTAATCTTATGAAAATTTATATTCAATATCGTTCTCATTTTTAGAACGTCTTCCTGTACTTCTTTTTATTCATGGTGATGGTTATGATATGAGTACGGGTGCTGCATTTGATGGAGCTATATTTGCTAGTTATACTAAAACTATTGTTGTTACAATCAACTATCGACTTGGTCCATTTGGTAAGAAGAACAAACAGAAAAAAGAAAAGTACTGATTATCATCTAATTTTCTCTTTTTCTTCTTGGATGAATAACAATTAAGCATAGCAATAGTTGTAGTGGAACTTGATCAAGGTTCTATCATTTCCTGTATATATTCTCTGATTAGTGATTGCCATTTCCGCTATACAACTTTCTAGACTAGTCTCGTACAGCGGGTGGCAATTATAGTTAATTAATTCACATTTGTCCCTCACCATGCGCAAGCACTGTCTCATATTTTTTCAGTCTATTAGAAACAGTTATTCAACTGGATGAATGAATATGTCTATAATGGATGATGAAGAAGAAAAAAAAGAAAAAGAAAGCAAATTTTACTTGAGAATCAAATGTAAATGAGAAAAGATCAAATTTATATGCATACATGTTCAATCGTTATGTCTTTTGTTATTATACAAAAAAAAAAGAAAACTTTCAAATGATTTATTTATTTTATTAATCGAAATTGAAACAACTTCAATTGAATATGAATATTCTATGATGTAACTTCATATGTATCTCATCATAATTTTTCTATATCCGGACTAATATATATATATGTTTATATATAGTCATAAGAGGTTAATGAAGAAGGATAATCGAATATGAGCTTAAAGCAAAAACAAGATTCATTAATCAAACGTTATTCCGTTTTTTTTTCTTTTTTTGGTCTTGAAAAGCCAAGAAAATTGATAAATTAACATTCAGAAATCAAACAATCGAAAGACAAAAAAATATTAACATTTGTGTTTAGAACAACATTCAATTACGGGTAACTTATAACATTCAACAAGAACAAAAAAAAATCAATTAGGATTTTCTTTTTCTTTTTGTCTCATTTTTATTATGACGAACTATAGAAAAATATATAGCGTGACTTCACACTCAACATTAAGAAAAAAAAAAAAAAGAAGATTTTTTTTGCATGCAATCAAGTTAATAATTATCATCAATTATAATAACTTATATTCTATGATTAAACTAAACGATGAAAAATAGACAACGAATATCCTATTTTCATTGCTATCCTACTTGACAAGTAGACGATAAGAAATGTTTACATGCCCTCAATCACTAGTCTGATGTTGATCTGTTAACTGCTCACAGCAGTTGTTCACACACTTTAATAAAACAAAAAAAAGAAAAGAAAAGAAATGAACTTGTTTGATGTTTAACTGACCACCTTCTGGTTTTGTAAATATTCTTGAAATATGATCTTTTTTATGTTCAATCTATTCTATTGATATTCATAAATTAATTATTATTTTTTTTTGTTTTTTAATATTCAATAGGATTTCTTTATATATCAAAAGAAAATAAAGGTGATTATGCATTACAAGATATATATACTGCTTTACATTGGCTTAAAAATTATGTGACAAATTTTAATGGTGATCCTGATCGTATTACATTATATGGAACAGGATCAGGAGCAGTATTAGCTAGTCTTGTTGTTATGCTTGAAACTGTTAATGGTTTGTATATTTATTTAAAGATTTATCATCAAGAAATTTTCAATTATCATTCAGCAAAGAAAATAGATTAGAATCTAGTGATTCAAAATTTAAATACGAATAATTTTTTCTTTCATAATTAGATCAAACTCACCTAGTTATTGATAGAAATATATTGTTTTTGATATATTAGAACGATATTTAAAAAAAATTCGATAAATAAAAAATCAGAAAAATCTATAAAAATTGAAGCTCAATTCCAATTAGAAAATTTCGTTAATATTACCAAAATACGAGTCGACAAGATTCGAAAATTTTCGACTGACTACAAACTACTTCTAAATGTTCAATATAGTGTATACATTTCCCTAAAAATTGTTGAAAAAAAATCGATTTTTTTTTTTCAACATGAATACGAATTTGTATTCTAAGATTTTTCTCGATGCGCTTAACACTATCTTTCGACAATATACAAGTCGAAATACTAAAGTAATAAAGATGTTATTCCTCATTATCCAAACTGATAGAATTATGTATCAGTACATTAAACATATGGTTGAATAAGCTAGATCTACACATCATGTAAATAATGAAAGCAATTAGCGATAACATTATGTGAACTACGAATACGATTTGGACACTTCTAGAAAAAAGAATCTAATCATGATACTTTACATCTTTGAGATTTTGTTATATAAATATATTCTTTCACTAAAATTTTTGATTATATTGCAATTCATACATTGATAGTCAAAATCTTAGAATACAAACTGATATCTATGAGATTTTGCTATCATATCACAAAACTAAAAAAAAAAAAAGGTCCAATAAATATTGAGACTATTGTAACTTGATGATTTTTTTTTTTTATTAACGTAAATTTTCTAGAAGATCATTTAATTATATCAAAAATAATATTTATACAGTTAAATTGATGAGCTTTGTTCATTGATTAAATTAATTTTTAGGTGGTACAGGAATAATAAAACGACGAAAACCTCTTGTTCATCGTCTTATTTTAAATGAACAATTATTTCTATCACCATATATGACATCAACATTAGAAGATATATCTATTTATCAAACAAATATACTTTCACATCTATCATGTTCAACATTATCTTGTTTACGTAATAAAAATTTAATAACAACAAATGATTTTTTACAATTAAATACATATTCTGATGATAATCGACATATGAATTATATATGTCCACTTGAAAATCCATTTCCATTTTATTCAAATTTATTAATTAATAATGATCATAAAAATTTATTACGTTTAAAATTTTTTCAACAAGCTCATTTACTTTTATCAGAAAATCTTCATATACTTTTAATAACATCATCAACAATTATACGTAAAAAATTACCAATACAAATCGATATGAAAAATTCAATTATGAATAATATTATTGAATATTTATTAAATTATGCATATATTCAATGGAATAAAACATCAAATCAATTTGATTTCGATGAACAATCATTAAGTTATCATCAACAAATAATTGCACCATTACTTCAATATGCTAAATATATATCAAATGAAAGAAAAATTTATGCACTAGAAAGATATTCAAATAAATTTAATTCAGAATTACCATTTACATTTGGTTATGTTTTAGCACCATCAATGAGTGTTTATAATGATACATATTTAAATGCTGATGAAAATGATAAAATTGAAAGTATGTATATAATGGATTTATTTGCAAATTTAATACATAATGGGTAAGTTAAATTGATTTTTAAATAGATAAAAAAAAAAATCAATAAGTTTTATTTTATTAAAGAGATATTAATATTAAATCACCATATTGTAAAAGAATTGAATGTGAAACTTTTGAAGAATGGCATCCAATTTTACCGGAATTAAATTTTATTACATTAAAAGGTAAATTAATATTCATTTTATTTGAAAAATTTTTTCTTTCGAAAAAAAAAATTAATAATCTAGAAAAAAGAGAAGCCTAATACAAAATATAGAAACCTTCAGAATGAAGTTAAACGTTACTTATGAGAAGAAATCCTTTAACTGATTAATAGCTCTCTCACTCAGGAAACCTCATAATAGATTTACCATTTCGAATGACTTATTTGAGCTAAAATCTTTAGAAATGAATGATCCTAGTGAAAAACGATTCTAGTAAAAAGCTTCAGTTCGATAAGTGAAACTAGAGCCGACGTCGCGCTTATCTACGACCTTTTGAAAAATCTCTATAATTTCTTTACTATAAGAAGTACACAGATAAGGATGGTTACGAACGGAAGCTACCAGTCTTTGTATAGTTTGTCTGTAGCAAGTAATTAGTGTTTGAAAATTTAATTATTTTCGGATCAAAGTTCCATTGTCTGATTTTTTGGTAAGTACCTAACAATCGCTCGAAAAGTCGGTAAGATAGTCACAATTCGGCTTAAATCATCTATGATCCGTGCATGACTCTCTTGTTAGATCTTGCAAGCGAAAAAAAATATTCATTATATCTTGAATCGTAACATAAGAAGTTCCAATTATTCTGATTGAAAATCATGTTTTGAACAACAGAATCATATTAAAATGATATATCCATAATATATATATAAATGGAATTTTTAAAAGCATGCAACAGATGGTGTAAGTTAGTACCAACTGTGTTGTTTAAATCATATAAAAATGTTTATTCAATACTGATGCGAATAAAAAAAAAAAGCAGTCTTCTCAAGAAGAAAAATGATTAAAAAAAGTACCACAAACATTTTTCGGAAAACGTGGTAGTCGAGCCGAAATTTCTTCTATAAGTTTAATAAAGTTTTATTGTTTTTGAAAAATTGTATATATTCTGAGTGCAAAAAGTTCGATGTATCTTCCTATGACAAAAACTCAACTTCGTTTTTTATTTTTTTGAAAAGAAGTCAATTTTCTGTAAAGACAAGACCATGATTTTTGTTTAGGAGATATGTCAATTTAATTACGGATTAAGTGCAATAATAAGGATTCATGGTTAATCTCTTACATGGTTGTCTAATGAAATGTGATTCCTTATTCCATGGCTTAATCAATAATTATATTGACATTTGTCTCTGAAATAAAAACGATGAAAGACATAAAATAAATTCGAATGATATTAGCAGCAAAAAGAAATAATTCAAATGTTAAACTGCATTATACTACTGAAAATTGATTATATTAATAATAAATCGTGTCAATACAATGCATATCTATTGATCTGAAGAAAATAATGCGAAAGATCGATCATAATCAGTGTAAAATATGTAAAACTGAATTGAAATTCTACTGATTATTAATCAAAAATAATCGATGAAATGTTGATATTTTTTTTTTTATTATCATAATCGATTTCTATAAAATTTATTCTTGCATGAGTACGTCTGTGCCACAATTGAAGAGAAGTAGACGACTTTTGTTTTTAAAAATATTTCGCGAACCCAACAAGTCTAATAATACTTTTATCTTATATAATATCAGACAAAAAGCCGTCTGAAGATTTCATCTTTCAATTACTGAAAACTGCAGATCACTAGCTGCTTACGCTGTTGAGCTTGCATCTATCGTTATTTAATTTCAACGCATATATTAAATAAGATCATTAAATCTATCAGGCTATATAAGTGATGTAAAACACACACTTTTGTTATAGCTGTATTCTAGAATAAGAAGAACGATGTCAGTCGCCCTGAGAGGATTACATCATTCATTTAAGAAAAAATACCATATAGATGCAATATTTCCGTAGCTATAGCTAAGAACTCGAACACTTTTTTGGAGTATTCACAGTTGATTTGGATTTACATAATATATGCATATTTCAAATTAATAGCGAATCATCAACTGAAAGACTTCTCTCATTAGTTATTGAAAGTTTCGCAATCTTCATTTAACAGTTTATATTTTGTTAATTAATAACAACAGAACGAAAGAAAACTATTTAATTCTTTAGATGGTCAATTAAGTCAACAATCAGGTCATTATGCACATGTTCATTATCTTTTTAACAATCTTATTTCTAATCTATTAAATCAACCATTACATCTCGATCTATTAAATACATGGAGAACTCTATATGAAGTATCACATAAATCTAATACTTCAATTTATAATTCTATCATTAATCATTCAACATTAAAATCAAAACCAATTCATTTCGAAATAAAAAATCTCAGATATGTATTTGTATTAGCATTAAGTATCTTAATTCTTTTATTATTAAATTTTTCTGTGTGCATCTATTTGGCAAGACGTGGACATGGTTGTCGAAAACGTGAATATAATTGTCTTAATGGACATGCACCAATAAATATCGAAAAAGCACCACAACATTGTGGATCATCACCATCAAGTACGAATAGTAATGGTACAATAACACAACAATTAATTGTTAATACGAACTGTATAACAACGAATAGTACTCTTAGCAATACACCACCTGCTGATATCTTACATCCAATAAATATAACAAAGAAGAATGGTATATTACGAAGTTCATCAATAAAAAAAACTGTTTTACTACCAGAAGCAATTGTATAGTATTTTTATTTCGTTCGTTCGTTCTTTTTATAATTTGTTTATTTCTTGAATAAATAAACTGTTTGAAACAGTGAGCAAAAAGAAAAAAAAAAGTGGAGTGTATGATTAACAGACAAGGACAAAAAGCGATATAGGAAAAAAGATAGAGAGAGTAAATAAGCACAAAAAAACAAAAAAAAACCAAGAGAAACAACTAATCAAACAATAATAATAAATGATTAATTAGGCAAGAAGAGGGAACAAAAAAAAGTATTTTATTTGTATTTTGTTAGATATTGTCGACATCAATTACTTCTCCATCATATTCAATTTTCTCAGTAACAGGAGGCTTATTAACTGATTCAACTTTAACTTCAATACCACTACCAGCTGCATGTGTAAAATCAATCTAAAATAAAAATGAAATTATTTACAGAAAAATTCTTTTTTTTTTTTTCTTCATTTCTTTTTTTACTTGAGGTTCATGTAATTTATTATCTTCATCCTCATCTTCATCACTTGATTCTTCAGCTGTACGTAACCATAATATAAATTCTTTTGACATTTCACGAATTTCTTTTGCTATTGTTTTATTAGCAAAACGTTTTGAAGATTTTTCATGCCATAAATAAAATGTATCTTCTTCAATAATATCTTCATCATAAAATTTTAATAAAATTTTTGACATAGCTTTTTTATTAAAAATTTTTGTACGAATTTCTTCATGATCAGCAATTAAAGCTTCAATGGCATGTAATAAATATTTTTGTCCTTTAGCATTTTTTGTACATAACTAAAATAAATTATTATACAAAAAATAAAAAAACAATTTTTTTTTTTGCTTATTTACTTTAGTTAATAATATTTTATATTCATCAATTTCTTTTAAAATATTTTCTGTAAATACACATTGTCCAACAATAAATGGTGCTTGTTCCATAATTTCTAAACGTTCCGCTTCAGCAACAAGATCTTTTATTGTATTCATATCATTTAATTTTTGTTCTTTTTTCTTTTTCTAAATAAAAAGAAAATTTTTGTTTTGTTTTTTTTTTTTTTTTTTGGGAAAGGATTTCACTTACTTCAACAAGACGATTATATTGTTCACAACGTTCAGGTAATGGTTTATCAAGATCATCCGTTTGAATCATACCTTTTATTTGATGATTTAATTCTGCAACAGTTGGTGATAAATCATCACCCCAATCTTCATCATCATCATCATCATCACCACCACCACCAGTTTTTGATGTTCCATTCTAGATTAATTCGAATAATTTAATTTACTTTCAAATATTTCTTACTGTTTTTCCATTTGATTCATTTGGACTTCCTTCATCTGAATTAGTACCACTTGTTTGATTTGGATTTTTCTTATTTTTTGATCGATCTTTTGTTTTTGTTTCTGTTGTTCCTTCACTTTTTGTTTCCTATGATTCCAAAAAAAAAAGAAAAACAATGAATTAAAAGTTTGTTTTCGAATTTATTAATCATACAGCATCTGGTGGATTTTTTGCAATATATGTTGTTAATTTATGTGATGCCATAATAATTGTACCTGAATGACCACATGCAGCACATACTTGATGAATTTCACCACCATTTCGTTTACGTACACTCTAGAAATAAAAAAGAATTTCGCTGTAGATTTAATATAAACGATATTTGATTTCAACGGAACTAAGACTATTTATCTACTTAATATATAAGTCAAGACAATATGACATTCATTAGATTGATATGCACTTATATCTATTTTCCTACATTCTTATCAAGATTTTTTCGATCGATTCTCTCCACTGTTTAATTAAAAAATGAAACATACTAATTTCGTTTCGGGATTGTCACATTTTGGACAAAGTACAAATCGTTTAATAAAACCATCAAGTAAATTTTGTAATTTTTCACAATCATGTGCACCATTAACAATATATCGATCTTCTTTTCCATTCATTTGTACTTGTGCACCTAATTCACAGCCGAAAAATTTAGTTACATCTAAATGTAAACAAAAAGTTTCGAAAATAAATAATTATATATTTATTCTTACAAGTTGGTGGACGATTAAGAGCTTTTGCAATTGCGGATACATTAACCAAAACAGTTTTGATACCATTACCTGTACCTTCAACTTTAGCTGTAAGTTTAGGCATTTTATAACGATAAAACATATCGTTTGTTTGACGATTAACATTTATCATTGCCATGATTGTATTGTATTATGAAATAAATTTATTTGTGAATTATATTGTTGTTGTTGTTGTTGTTGTTGTTTAATTAAATGTGAAAATGCTAAATTTTTTTTTTGATATTTTTTGTAACGTGATGAGGCTGAGCGTTTGAGCCTATCGAAAGATGATATTGTGCAATAAGTGCCAGATGGGCATGAAACATTTAACATAGAATATTGAACAACACTCGGTTGTGCCGTTCGTCTACGGTGATAATAATGGCCGTGGGCAACTGTTTGAATATCTAATATAAATTAGATAATAATTATGTTTATTTAAAATTAACTAAAATTTACTTACTTCGAATCGACAACTTCATAAAGAAACTAAACTTTCAATGGGCGATCAGTTGTTAGCTGCTAGTCGTATATATATGAATAAAGTCAAAGATCTGAAGAGAGAAA